CCCTAGTGCAGTGGTTCTCAACCTTCCTAATGCCGTGACCCTTTAATACAGTTCCTCATGTTGTGGTGACCCCCAATTTCATTGTTATAAATTGAACATAATTAAAGCATAGTGATTAATCACAAAAACAATATGTAATTATATATGTGTTTTGTTTTCCAATGGTGCGACCCCTGTGAAAGGGTCGTTCGACCCCCAAAGGGGTCGTGACCCACAGGTTGAGGGCCTAGTGTGATCTCAATGTGGAGGCTCAGCAGGTCTGCGAGAGGAGATATTATTAGGTTTTTTGAATTGGAAACATTTTTCTTCCGTTGTTGGGATATAGCAGCTTTATAATTAACTAGAAGCCCAGTACACAAATTTGTGCACGGGTAGAGTCCTTGGCCTGGCCAGCCACCAGGGCTCATCTCGGGGCCACCGGCTGGGGGGAGGGACCATGGGAGGTTGGCCAGCCACGGAGCCATCAGGGCTCATCTCGGGGCCGCCGGCTGGGGGGAGGGACCATGGGAGGTTGGCTGTGGGAGTGCACTGACCACCAGGGGGCAGCTTCTACATTGAGTGTCTGCCCCCTGGTGGTCAGTATGTCATCATAGCAACCGGTCGTTCAGTCGACCGGTCATAATGGTCACTTAGGCTTTTGTATATATAGATTAGTGCATGTAGGGAAAAGGGAGAGAGGTGGATGTCACTTGAGGTTGGAGGAGGGCAGGGGAAGAGTCTTCAATGGATTCCTGCTTGCATTTCCCAGATTAATTTTACAGCTCAGAGATATTCAAGTATCAAAATTCCCTTATGCAAATGTTACCATCTTCTCAAGGGACCCCTTGATGCTCTGATTGGACTGAGAGTGTCTGGGTTTCTAACCCTTTCCAAGGACCCTAGTTTTTCTGGAGATTAATTGGCCTTCCCAAGGTCCATAGAGATAGATATATGAGTGTTGTAAGAAACTCCTCTGTCTCTCAAACTCAAGTCAGCAGAAGAACAATATAAATGGTGATGTTGGGGCTATGGATTGATATTTTTGAGGTTGGAGAAGCACAAAGGCAAATCGAATACATATGTGGAACTGTTTGAATGATAACTTGAAAGTCAAGGCAGGGAAGAGATTCTTGGAGGGAGAAGTAGTCAACAGTGCCTACTTGTCAACAAGTAGGATGTGAAGAAGATAGGCCCTGAGAAAATTCCATTGATATGACACAAGTGTCATTGTGTTACCAAAGAACCTTGCAGTGGAGTAGTACAAGGGGATGTTAGATTGCATTGGGTTACTGGGAAGGGGAACTTCTCTTTCAAGAAGAGAGAGGGGGTAACTTATAAATGTTTTATATGCTACTAGGAAGGACCCCAAGATATCTAAAGATGCCAATGACTCACTCTCCCTTACTTTCCCCCCCACTCTCCAACAGATGTGACTGAGCCCCTTTTGTAAAACTATCTAAAACAAAGTTTGCTGTTGTCAGGACATCTATTCTTCCTAGAGTCTCATTGGGTACTAAAGCACCACTTGTCTGGGTTCTTGGTAAAACTTCGGAAAATGCTCCAAATAACACAGACTATCCAAGAAAACTTGGGGGGAAATTTTTTTAAAAAGCTTTCCTTTAGTTCACTGGTTAAGGAAATTGCTCTAATGTGCTTTTTAAAAAAATTATTAAATATATTTGTATTGATTTCAGAGAGGAAGGAAAAGGGCGAGAAGGATAGAAACATCAATGATGAGAGAGAATCATTGATTGGCTGCCTCCTACATGCCCCCTACTGGGGATTGAGCCCACAACTCAGGCATGTGCCCTTGACGGGAATCGAACCCAGGACACTTCAGTCCTCAGTCTGATGCTCTACCCCCTGAGCCAAACCAGCTAGGACAAAAACTTGGGGAAAGTTTTACATAGAAATATTTGTCCACAATATGAACAGATCTGACACTCCCCACCAAATTTGTGTCAATCAAATAGGTCCAGTGTTTGCCAAGTTCTTGGAAGTCCCACTGATACTTGGGTCATGATGGTACCATGTAGCCTTCTAAGGCAAACCATTATTTAGTAAAAATAGTCTCTTTTCATTGTTATTAGATTTCCTTCATGCTTGTCCTTCATAGAACCACCATTTGCAAGAAGTCAAGAGAGCATTCCCAGAAACAATTTATCATCTGAAAAAGCAGAGTTTCTAAAGAATCTGAGTCAGTTCAATAATGGCTTTTGGCCATAGGAAAAGTGGAGGTACTGGTAATAACTTTAAGCCCAGAGGCAGAACCATTGTCTAGACTCGCAGTGGTTCTCAACCTTCCTAATGCCGCGACCCTTTAATACAATTCCTCATGTGGTGGTGACCCCCAACCATAAAATCATTTTCGTTGCTACTTCATAACTGTAATTTTGCTACTGTTATGAATCATAATGTAAATATCTGATATGCAGGATGTATTTTCAGGGGTCACGACCCACAGGTTGAGAACCGCTGGTAGAGAAAGATATCTTAATGGCATCTGAGAGCCCAGGTCATTCACAATTTTAGCCCAGAGCCTGGTTGAACCAAACATCCCATTAATAACCTTATCCAGAGCCCAGCCCAGTCTGGCTATAAAATAAATGTAGTCCAACACATTCCTTGATTCAATTTAGGGCATTTAAAATCCCACCCCAAAGCCCTATTAACCCAAATTAAGAGATAAGACTCACTTAACACAGCCACAACCGAACTCTGATTATCCGGAAAAATGAGCCAATCTCATAGATAAGTCGATGTCAGCCCAAAGACAAATTCTCGGTTCGAAACCCAGCTCAGCTAAATTCACAAACCATCTCAGTCTATCCTAAACCAAACCCAACACAATATGAAGTTTAATCACCAGTTTCCTTATAGCCCAATCCAGCTACAATCTAGCCAAAGCTCAAAGCCTAGCACAGCAAGTCTTATGAAGAGCACATTCCTACAAAGACTCAGACAAGAGAACAATATGTAACTCATACCAGCATGGCCTAAAAA